CTCCAGAAGGTGACCCCGGGCTTCATCCGGGCAGTGTATCCTCACTTCTTTGTTGTTCTTTCATGAGGTCTTTTGAACCAATCTTAGTCCGGCCCCTTGCCTGAGACCAATTTGCCATGGGAGACCCTACCAAGAACACAAGGTTCCAGACAACACAGCCCCCAGGTTCATCAGGGCACACAAACTTCTCTACCACGGTAAGGCGCTGGTTCTTCAGAGAGGTCATGGTGTTTGAATTGATTTTAAGTGGACACAGAGACAAAACATTTGCTGTACCTGATACAGAGGCACTGACTGCTTGTCTGATTTTCTGAATTTTGTCAGTGAAGAAGGAGGCAAATTTATTGCACGCCCTGGTGGATAGAAATTCAGAGGTTACTGACACTGGGGGGTTAGTTAGTCTGTTGACGGTAGCAAACAAGGCACGTGCGTTGTTTTTGGCAATGATATCAGAGAAGAAAGACTGTTGGGCAAATTTCAATTCCAAATTAGAAAGGCCAAGTCTCTCTTTATAGATTTCAAAGTGCACCTGGAGATTTGTTTTTCGCCACCTGCATTCAGCTTTTCGACACTCTTTTTTTCTCTGTTCTCACAGTCATGGCCTTTCTCCATGGAGATATTTTCTTCCCAGTCACTTCCTTTACCTTAGAAGAAAAATTCTGAGTTAACATTTCCCTAGTATTTTCAGTTAAATATCGCTTTGTGGTTACCTCTTTTTGAACATTTTTGTGAACAGAAATAGAGCTCTCAAGGAAAACACAGGAATGATCAGAGAGTGCAACATCAGTCACCACAACCTTAGAGATATTCAGACCCTTTGAGATAATTAAGTCCAGAGTGGGCCCCTTATTGTGCGTGGGCTCCGTCACATGCTGAGTCAGTCCATAGTTATCAAGAACACAAAACTGTTTTTTTGCCCCTCTGTCCTGGGGGTTGTCAACATGGCTGTTAAAATCACCAACAATGACTAGACGGTCAAAGTCAATACACACTATAGACAGCAGTTCAGTAAAGTCATCAAAAAAGCTTGCACAGTATTTGGGTGGTCTATAGATATTTAGGAACAGAGCTTGAGAGGAGCATTTCAGCTGAAGGGCCACATATTCAAAAGAAGCAAAGTTCCCATAAGATGTCTTCCTGCATTAAAGGGAATCATTCAACAAAATAGCAACTCCACCTCCTTTCTTATGCATTCTTTCCTGACTCATAAAACTAAAGTTGGGAGGGGTTGATTCGATAAGAACAGCTGCACTGTTATTTTGTTCAATCCATGTTTCCGTGTGATAAAATCATTGATTAAAAATGTTTTACCTGCCAAAGACCTGACATTTAATAAAGCTAGTTTAAGTTTTAAGGCATGGTGACGGGGGTGTTGGTGCGCGTCCAGGGGGAGGAGGTGGTTGACGTAGGCACGGTGACAAAGACGGGGGAGGTGGTGCGCGTCTCTGCTTCGGTGATTTTGATGGGCGTCGTTGAGGGGCGGGGGTAAAGGACATGCTGCCCTACCCTGCGCATCGCCTTAGTTTGGTCCTTGAACTCCAGGAAGGAATCGGTGCCAACCCTCTGTATCTCCTTCATGTGTTCAGCGATCTCCAGGAGGGTGGAAGAAAGGGTGAAACGGAGAGTAGAGAGAGCTGTGGGGTGAAGGAAGAGTATCCTCAGAGGTGATAGGGGGGGGTGAAGGGCGGTGGAGACTACTCCATTCCATAATCAAGGCATTCCTCAAGCGGGTGCAGTGATACTTCTTCAAGGTTTTCTGCGCGATGTGTTGTGTCTTTCTCTTGTTTTGATTCCTCTTGTTGCTTGTTCCTTGGCAGAGGGAACAGATTGATGACGCAGGCAGTTGAATATGTTAGAGATAAACAATTTCACTCCTGACGAGGGGTGTTGTAACGGTTCACAAACATTCGGTTCGGTACGTACCTCGGTTTTTTGGTCACGGTTCGGTTCGGTACGTTTTCGGTACAGCAGACATTTTTTTTCACAAAACAAAACATATATATATATATTTTTTTAATTATTATTAAACTGTGAATAATGTATTCACTCAAATAAATACAAAATATAATAAAATAAACATTAAGGTGCAGCATTTCGATGAACTGAAATAATCTGTATTTGAACTTTACTGTACTAGTTACTCACAAAACATAAACTATTAGTTTTGGGTTTTTAATTATTATTAAACTGTGAATATTCACTCAAATAAATACAAAATATAATAAAATGAACATTAAGGTGCAGCATTTCGATGAACTGAAATAATCTGTATTTGAACTGTACTGTACTAGTTCCTAAGCAGCCAGTTTGACATTAGGACTTGCTTGTCATTGTATTTTCATGTTTTTTTGAAGAAAAATTAACTTGTCCACATTGCTTGCCGAAAGGGCAGATCTGCTGGCACTAACAATGTCTCCTGATGTGGAGAACACCCTCTCTCTAGGGACAGAGGTAGCAGATACAGCCAGGTAGCGCTTTGCTAACATGGCAACATAAGGATATTTGGCATTTGTAATAGCTTTGGCTCGGTCTGAACTCTCTGCGAGTGGTGGAGGCTTAAATGCTAGTGGGAGTTGGGTTTGCACTTCAGTCTTTTTTCTTTTGGTATCGGTGATATTCACGTTCGGGTGATGCCTTTTCAAGAGTGTGGCAAGTTTGATGTATTGCCAGCCGCGTAACCAATTTTAGTGAACAATGCCGACAAACAGCTTTGGTTCGGTCCACCTGTCTTTGTCCGTCATCCTTGTACGTAACTGCGAAACCAAAATGTTCCCAAACCGGAGACTTCAATGATGCTGGAGGATTTTCGAGCTCAACTTTATCTGCGTTCGCCATTAATTTTCGACAGTTCCTCAAATTACTGACTACATTTGAACGCATCCCTCTGACCAGCTCTCATAGTATGCCTCTCATCCAATGAAATGACTTGCTCGTTCTATGACGCGTTGAACCCAATGTGAGCAAATTACTCTGAATGCTGCGACGCAGCACCTGAGATTACTTCCAAAAGTTATTCACGTTCTCAATTTTTACGTTTAACGTTATATTCGTTCGGTACACTTCGGTACACACCTGTACCGAACCGAAGGGCCCGTACCGAATAATTTCGGTACGGGTACGTGTACCGTTACACCCCTACTCCTGACTTGTTCAGGCAAAACTCCATTTGCCTTAAAAGATGTCTGCGGTCCCAGAAAAAGTTAAAGTTGTCAATAAAATGGACAGAATGGTCAGTACAGGCAGTTGAAAGCGAGATGTTCAGTGCAAACAATCTGCTGAATCTCTCCACTCCTCTTCTGACTGGCTGGTAGAGGGCCCCACTGATGAACACCTCTGCATTTAGAGAGCTGACAGTTTCCAACAAACATTTAAAGTCTTTTTTCAGCACTTTTGACGCATTTGTTCCAATGTGCAGTACCACATTTTTCACAGTTGGATGTACAGCCCCAATATGCACGATCTTCTCAGCCAAGTCAGAGACCATATCCTTGGGAAAACAGAGTACTTTGGTGTTGTTCTTACTCCATAGACTTTTTACATCTCTTACAGCGAGTCACCCACAATCAGAGTTTCAGGCCCAGTCGTTAGCTTTCCCTCTAGCCTTTTACTTTTGGAGTAGCTATTGGTCCTTACCCTGCTGTGTGAAGAGGACAGGTTATCCAGGTCATCAGAAAGAGATCTCCGGTGCTGGGTCAGTGGAGCGTATCTGTTCTGGATTGGCACACTCGGTGGTTTAGGAGGAATGTTTGTAGTTCTCCCTTTAGCAGCTGTCCACGACTGTTTCCTAGTATGAACAGGGGTTGAAGAGGCGCTCTTCCTGGGTGATAACAATGCAGGCCAGCCGGTCGCATCACAGATTTCAGAGCGCTGGGCTCTGCCTGTTGTTCGTCCTCTGCCTGTTGTTCGTCCTCCCAAATCCCATGGAAATTATTTCGTCTTCGGCCTTGCACCCAGAGAGGGAGGACTACCACTTGTAGATTTATTACCTGTAGATGTATTACCCGGTACACAGCCCTCCTGTTCCTTGGAATCCTTGTAGCTGCTAACTAGCTTTGAGTTAGCATGCCTTTGTCCATTCTTTTGCAACACTGGTAAAGTGGTGTCATTCCAACCTAGTCCATTCACTTCCACGTTAACTTCCAACCGTTACATTTTCATTTCCACACGGCCATCTTCTGTAGAAGTTTGTGGAAGTCATCTGTAGAGAACGGAGGCATTTTGCTGCTAACTAGCTTAAGCTAAATAGCATGCTGTACCAGGCTTTAGCTGTTGCTAGGCCACGCTACTGTAAGACTGAGGTCGTCGTAAAAATATTGAAATTTGGCTGAAACCCCTCCGTCTATTTACGAAGAATAACTGTCCCAGTGATAAGTTAATGTCCAGGAGCCGCTACTCGAAGTTTCAGAAAAAGAAAAATAGAAAAACAGCATAAAAAGTAAGCAGAGGCAAGAGCAAGCAGAAACGTGTCTGCACTGTAAGAATAACAACTTCACTACACTTCAAGTGCATTTCAAGTATACAAAATGTGAATATTGCCTGTAAAAGGTCAGGATTGTGCCTGTTAAAAAAGTGGTAGATTTAGGAAAGCTGCCATCTAATTCTCTGAAATTCACCAGTTTAAAAGTTAATTTGTTCATAGATTAATACTGTAAAACTGATTTTGTGATCATTTTTATCTAATCACACAATATGCTTCACAAAAAAAAACATTTAATGTTTGATAGTTGTGAAATGACTCATAATATTACAATACAATAACAATCTGAATTTTTACATGAATCGTTTTTCCTACAATTCCTTACAATAATATAGCCATTGGAATTTTGAAACACCAGTTTTTATTGTAACCTAGATATCTACTAAACTTTGACTTTACCTTTATTAAGCCCACTTCTAACCCAGGCAGTTTTAAACTGAACATCAGGGCTCAGTGAGAGGGCAACTTGAACATCAAAGTAAAAAACAGAAGATAAGCGTGTGTGTTCCTCTCTCTTTTTCAGACCTCCAACACTATCGCGTGGTCTCTGTACCAGTTGGCAAAGATACCAGAGATCCAGGAGCAGCTTTACCAGGAAGTGATCCGTGTGTGTCCCGGGGACAAGGTGCCCACCAGCGAAGACATCGCTCACATGCCGTACCTGAAGGCTATCATCAGAGAGACGCTACGGTGAGTCATTTGTTTTAATAGTACACCATATAAAGGAGCTGCCGGTTCTTGCAGTGAGCACTTTGTTTGTTCTGGCTGCATTGTCAGAAGTGCGAAGTGCAAATCTTAGTTTTTTAATTCTAAGATGGGGTGACTATTGCCACTCAATATCACAGAGGGATTGGGTAAACTGGGTAAACTAATTGGACGTGTGTAATCTCCATTCACAACGTAGTTTTTAGCTTTCAATACCATTTTATTACCAAAGACAAACGGCTTGTGCACGGCTACACGGTCACATTTGTTTTGCTTTTCCCAGTCCTAGAACCCAGTCCTAGAACCCAGTCCTAGGACCCACACCTGTGCCAGTGAGGTCACCTAAATACCCTGTGCCATTGCGCCATCTAGTGCTAAAAAGAAAAACATACAAATGGGGACAACATAAGGTGATGTCTTTAAATACCTTGTTGCTCTGTGGTCCACAGGTTGTATCCGGTGGTTCCAGGAAACGCCCGACTCAATGTTGAAAATGAGATTGTGGTCGGAGATCATCTGTTCCCCAAAAACGTGAGTGACTTTTAAGAGCCAAATCCTGAAATGTTGAAAACAAATTCAGCTTAATTTAATTTTTTCTCCATTGTTTTTATTTAATACTTAACACTAATCACTGTCAGCTTTTTATTTCAAAGAATATAAATCAGATGTCATGCTTTGTAATCAGCAGCATTGAGTCATGACTGTATATTTGTTTTTTCTCAGAAGCTGTAACTGATTACAATTTTTGTAATTAAATCACGTAACTTTGTACATTTTTCCCAGACGCTGTTCCACCTGTGCCACTACGCTGTGTCCTACGATGAGAGCATTTTTCCCCGACGCTCACTCCTTCCTGCCCGACCGCTGGCTGAGAGGATCCGATGAGAGGACCAAGCAGCATCCGTTCGGGTCGGTGCCGTTCGGCTTCGGGATCCGGGCGTGTCTGGGCCGACGGGTGGCCGAGCTGGAGATGTACCTGCTGCTCTCCAGGGTAAAAGCCTCTCTTTAATGTTGCTGCTTTCTAAGATTCAATCAATGACTTCTATAAGTCTGTCTGGAGATTAGGAAATACAGTGGTCAGTGTTAGTTATTCCCAAAGACTACTACTACTACTACTACTACTACTATTACTACCACTACCACAACTACTACTACTATTA